CTTGTCAAGAACAAATAATCACCATGATTCAGAATCATGTTGATTATTTGTAAAAGATAGTAGCTTAAGTAAAGTAATGGTATCCAGATTTCATTTACATTGGGTTTCTAATACATATATTGTTAAAATCCTGAAGTTTTAGTTGCTTTGTATAATATCATAAGTTATCACATTACAGGAAAATAATATCCAGCTGTAAAATCTTGACATGTCGTAAAACAGAACAAGTACAGCAGGAGATTGGACTCTCTGCTGCTGCTGCTAACAAATGGAAACATGGAGTTGGAAGCAGTTCTGGGTAGAACCGACCCGACTGAACCATCTGTTGAGCCGCAGTTCTGTGTGGGAATGTAATTTCAGCAGTGAATTATGACTGACAGGCTCTGAGGGATGATAGGCATGTCTTATCTTTATTTTTACACTGCGTAGAGAAGAGGAGGAGGAAGAGGAGAAGCAGAAAAAATAGCAGGAACTTGGTGAGTCATTAAACACAGCAAATGAGGCGCTGATACATTGAGAACCGTTTTAACTTGGTGGAATAGAAAGCCAAGCATGGCATCAGAGATAATGCTAAACTGCATACATTTTAATGGCTTGACAGGAAGGGATCAGAGAGTATTAATCCATAGCTTTTGTCGCGCCCCGTCCTGCTAATGTGGCTTTTTTTACGAAGCCATTATAACCTCACTAAGACGCAGACAAATGGAAAATAAATGGGATGGAGATAGCTTCCATATTAACTCTGTGTCAGAGGCAGCCATTTGTTTCTGCTTAGTTTAAGTGGTTACTTTATGTGACAGAAGTTCTCCCTAATTTGTAATAATTTTTGATATTTCATCTTAATTCTTGTCATCTGAGTCAGCATATTTACTGTAACCAACTTGTACTTGAGCTTAATAACAACTTTTAACTGTCAACCCATCAACCATGTTCTCCTTCTGGGTGAAACTGTAGCAGTAAGTCTGAAATTATTTCAAAAGTTGTCTGAAAATTGCATCTCTATGAGATGTAATTATGGAGAAAAGTTTTAATTTACTGTCCTGAGAAACACAGTGAGCCAAATGAGCCACAGTCTTAGTGCTGCAAATCACACTCATCTATGTGCTACTAAATGGCAATAACCAGTAAATCCGTTAATTGCGTGATTATCTCTAAGAATCTGTAAAGGGGAAATACTCTCTTATTTAACTGCTGTGGTCGATTGTATCAGAACCATTTTTTAAACGGCAAACCTTCAGTTAGCGCCGTAATTCATATTTCTGCTAATTAGCTCATGAGCTAATCAACCAACCGTCGTGTCCAGGCGATCGATTATTAATGATCACAAAATAAACATTAAACTGTAACGAACTGAATATTTTTTTGGTGTTGATGTTCCTCAGAAACACTTGAACGTAATCTCTGCTCTGCTGGCTAGCGGAGCTGTTGTTAGCCAGTTTCCATGGCAACGGTTGGGCCTGTAGCGTCAAGCCGACGGAGATTAAGGGAACAAATTTGAGTGGCTTTGAGTTGTTCTTCATCTGCTTTTCTGATTTTTTTCCCCCTTGTTATAAAGTGTTTAACGAACTGTCTTCTACAGCAGCAATTATGTAAAATTAAATTGTCTAATGAAAAAAATTAATTTTAGTCCTGATCTGAAGGGAGAGTACATAGTTTATGTACCAGTGTCTTCTTTGTAATTTCCTAAATTTAATCACAAGTTCTTACTTCTGGAACAAACCAAATGGTGTCACTGTCGAACCTGCTTCACTTCGCCAGCAGCTGAATTTGTTTCTCTTTGATTTCTGATCATTCGGTGGCATCCTTCATGTCTGCTTGCATGGCTTCATTAGGAGTTCATGTGACTAATTACCACAGAAAGAGCTGAAGGTTAACGAGGCGCTGAAGTTCTTCTGCAGTCGTCTCCCAGCACGCCGATGGAAACAACAAGGGAAACGCTTCTTAGCTGATGTCTGTATTGTTTTTCCCAAAAGGAGGAGCCAATGGGAGAGCGAGGCAGAGAGGGAAACACTCCCATAAACACATGAAAGGAATCCTCAGCTCCCAGTGCCGCGGCGCAGAGGTAATCATGGATTATTAACGTTTATATTGAAAGATGCAGCCCCATTAGGAAGCAGCTGGCAAATTACATTTAGTTTTGTCCCGGTTCTGTGTGCTTGATGCGGGATCGTTTATTATGTGAGGGAGAAAAGAAGAAACAGCAGAGTTATTGCAACATGGCTCATTTTAGAGGATCAATATCGACACCCAGGGGCAGTTTACATGCAAAGCTTTTATGAGAGAGTAGTTTTACTTGCTCCCTGCAGTTGTTGCTGAAATGAGCCTGAAGACTGTTTCAAAGCAAACCGAATAGATGGTTTTATTTTCTGCTGAAGCATCAAGAAGACATTTTTTAATGTTTTTAAATGTTTGGTAAAAGTAATCTTGTCTTTCTGAGGTTAGTTGTCCATTCCAAACTTTGGTTTATGCTCTATTGTATCAGTGGAAGTAAGTATTTGTTGGTACAACCGCTGACATATTTATTAAATCTGTTACAAACATAGTTCCCAAAGCTTGGAAATTGGTCACTTTAACTCCAGTCTTTAAGGGCGTGTTCTCACCAGGTGTGTTTAGTCCACTTTAGTTTGTTTCTCAGTTTGTTTGTGGAGGTGTGAATGCTAATCAAACTCTGACATGAACCAGAAAAGTGAATTCTGGTCCGCCTACAAACCTTGGTGTCGGTTCGGTTGAAGTCAACTGTGGCGCAATTTGAATGCATATTTGAACGCCAAGCAGACTGGAGACCGCTCCAAAAGCAGGAAGTGGACTAAAGTGCAGGGCATACTGGGTAAATACAATTACAATTAGCATTAGTGTTACTGGGAGAAATGGATTGTGGTTTTTTACCAGAGACAAGAGGGAAATCCTCCAACTGCTAAAATCTGACATTTTTGTTTACATTTTGTGAAGAAGGACGTAGCGCTCAGTCTCTTCTTCAGAGGTTTTTTGTTGTTTCCTTTTGTTTTTGTTTCTGTTGCAGCGCCACTCCAGGCGAGGAGGGAAACAGGTTTTTCAATTAATTTGGTTTATTTATTACAGTGCAGCGTAAAAGTAACAAATGTTGCAATTTGTGTCCCCAACCAAAGTGTCAGGTGGGAAAACAGCCTAACATCCAACTGCAGACCAGTTTGTTAATACTTATTCAAAAACAAAATTTCCCTTTTGGTTTTTACCTTGATCGTTCTACACAGTGTATTATTGTGTATCAGTGGTTTCTGTAAGTTTGTTTAAACCTGAAGATATTCCTGTTTCAGAAAAGCTAAAGGACTTTTCTGAACTAAACTCTAACAACTGAAAGTTTTCCACTGAGGAAAGAGAATTTTCTTTCTTTCTTTAAAGTTTTCTTTAGAAGGTTTACGAATGTTTGTTTAGAGAACTTGGACTCATTTTCAGCCCATTTCCTAGAGCTACTTTCAGAAAAAAGGGTGTTAGTATGTTAAACCACACAACCCATGAATAATTTAGGGGTAAAACGGGACGTCGTTGCATAAATAATGTGTTTACTCAAAAACAACTTGAGCAAAAACACATTTTCTAGGAAGTCTTCATTTGATTTTGACTAGTTTAAGTAAACACTGAAACATAAAAATGAAAATTGTGGTTTTATCACAAGTTATGAGCCAAAAACACCCCAAACAAAATATTTAACTTCAATTATACGATACAAAATAACTTCCCTGAATGTTCATTTGAGTTTTAACACTTTAATATTCATAATTTGACCAGAAAATCCAGTTAAAAATCTCCACATGCATGTACGCATGTGATGTGCATGACTTAGTGATGGCATTAATCTGACAGGACAACATGAAATTATATTCGCATGGATGGTCGGGTTTTTGAGTTAAAAGATGTTTAAAAGGTAATTGTGGGAAGACATTATACTGTAATCTATACACCAACTATAAAAGCTAAAATATATAAGCAAACACCAGTTAGCCTGGTGGCCCTCCAGGCTTATAATGCCCATACTAACCATCATCTCATTCTGGAGGAAGAATGACTCTTAACTTCCTGGTTAGCATAAACGTGGTGCTGTTTGCCCCTCCACCCGGGCGGTTAAAGCTTCATCCATTAATTGTCCAGGTTGGCTCTGTGTGTCCTTTACTCCTTTCTGTTTGCCTCCATCTTTAATTACTTTTGTTGTAAAGCCCATCAACCTCCAGCTGAGTTTGCACCACAGGCCTGAGCTGCATTCGATCGCAGTCTGTTAGCCGCAGAGCGCTGAGAAGGTTCAGCTGGTGGGCAGATGGCTGCACATCACTACTGGGAGTAGATATTTGCACATGTTGGTGGTGTTTTGGTTCAGGTTGCATCTTCAGCTGCAGATGCAAAAGTGTTCATGATACTTTGGTTTTCTCTGACATCACTCTGGAACGTGCAGAGCCCCCTAGGGGACACGGGGAAGGTTTTCATTACCTTGCATTGAATCTGCAGCTACACCCTGGTCTATTTTGTCACAAATGTCAAATTGCACACGTTTAAAGAGCCTCAGTGAAAACGTATTTAGACATTTTTAACTCTTTGGTAAAAAAAACTAATCGATTTATTCACGGCCTGTTTATCTGAGTTTTTGTGAGGTTGAGATGAAAACGGCCCTTTATTAGCTATTCAACAGAAAAAAGACACAATCAGAAGAGTTTGATGACTTTATTACCCGTGAAAATAACTCTGGAAAAGTCCAAATAGTTTGAATGTATCTTTTCTTTCTTTGCTTCTTACGGAAAGTTTCTGTTTATATCTGAGAGAAGATGGAAAGAGATGGAAAGCTGTTTCAGATATCTGATAAACGAGACGTTAACCTTACGAAAACCTCAGATTATAGCAAAAGGATTTTCAGTCTTCAGTTCTGCTGCATGAACTGGTCAGTACGTTACTGTGAGAGAAAGAAAAAAATGTCCTCCATGTCCCTTAGAGGACGCCGTAGAAACCCGAGGAGTACGTTGGTGAAAAAAATCTAGATTTTCCAAAGATTAAATCCTCAAAAACCAAAATTAACGGATCAAATCCATTTATCACCCAGTCCTACCAGTAGTAGAATAAACATGCATGTAAATATGAAATGCATTGTGATCAAGTTATAGTTATAACTTAGCTTTGCAGACTCAAATCTCTCTTTCTGGATCCTCAGCATGCAGCACTAGTTTCATCTTTGCATGCATGTGTTGTCTCCAAGTAAAGCAGCTCAAAGGAAAGCGTCTTTAAAGCACACGAGTGCGGCTTCAGGTTTTTCATGAACACTCTCCTCAGCTTTAAGGATGGCTTCAGCTGATTTTTGTGCCACCAAAACGGCGATAAAGTCAAGCACCAATCTGCATTCATGAATGTTAACGGCTGCATTTTGCCGTTGAATTCTCAGGAGGACGGATCGGTGTGTGGGATGTGGAAAGTAAAAGCCGTGCCTTCATCTGAAGGAATATTCAGATGGAAGAACTGGATGAAAACAGAAGAGTCGGCAGCGTAGAAGCCAAAGTCGAGTTCATCTCCCTCCGAAAAATCCCCTCCTGTTTTTTCTGGATCATGTCGGTCCAGTTTGAAAACCGACGGGTTTCAAACGTTGAATCGGTTAGGCTTGAATAAATAACAGAAAATTAAAGGTGTGGCACAACTGGAAATGAGAGCTGAAGCGATTAATTGGATTAATCATGATTAATCGATTATTTAAATAATGAACTGTTATTACCAGGAATATCGGAGATCATTTGGGAAAAGGAGCACTGAAAAAAGTTAAACTAGATTCCAGGGCTGAAATGATTAATCGTTCTCCGAGCAAAACTTATATACATTTTGCATTTAAGATAAAAAAAACACAAACAAAACATACGTTACATGCAGAATTCCTGAAGTGGCCGTTTTAGCTTCGCCTGGTTCAAATTACCGTAAAGAAAATCTGCTATTAAACATGTTTTGGTAACTAATACCAATAAGTTAGTCCAAAAAGTAATTAACGGTCCACTGCATTGATAAAAGGAAGTGTTTTATTTTAAACTGCACATGCATTCTGTGCTAAAAATGATCAATTCCTGACTATAGGAATGTTGTTGTTATGTTGTCAGATATAAAATGTGTATTTTTCTACTCAAAAAGAAATGTGGTTATTTATTTGAATCTTTTAGGATATGTAGGTTGCAGAATGTTCCAGTTTTTAAATCCAATTAATCGATTAATCGTCAGAATAGTTGATAACTAAAGTAATAATTCTTTACATTGGTTTGAAGGTTTTAAACGGTGGATGTAGGAAGGAGGCTTCACATGTAACCACCCACAAGTCACTTAAAACTGAAGTAACGCCGTGAAGAGACGCTTCAATGGGCCCAATAAATGACTTTTCTCCAGAGATGTCAGTCACACATCCCACTTTCTGTGTTCACCTCTTCTTTCCTCTGACGCTGCCTGGGCTTTTCTCTCTGCTGCATTATTGAAGATGGTTTTATTTATTGATTTTATACAAATGCTGAAGGGTTTCAGGAGTCAAAGTCAATCATGTTTGATTTTTCACTTTCATCTTGTTTATTGGTTTTGAGAAGTGAATTTCTTAAAGACGATGAAACAAGTTTGTTTCTAAATGTGACAAAAGTATTAGATGGAGAACTTGTTCATGTTCAAACCAAAGATCTGGTTCATACTCACATTCTGTTTTAAATATCTATGCTCTGCTGGACATGCATCAGTTTTAACTTCCTTCATTTCTTTTAAGTGCATAATTTAACTTTTTCATCTCAATTATCATGACATAAAATAAATTGTGAGTCTCTGTAATTGCAGAGCTGCTGCTGGAATAAATGTGTTGATCCATTTTGATGCAGCTTTAATCCCATCAATAATTACTGTTTTAGTATTAAAGGACTGATTTTGACAACCTTTTATAATATAATAATTTGTGTTTACATCAAATAAAGAGCTCCTAACAATTGATTTAGTAATCAATCAATTAATCAGATAAAAATTTCTGCAGATTTTTCATTTAACCACTTAAACTTATTTTATACAGTTATAGAAATACATAAAAAGATGCAAATAGGCAAAAAATGTAATTTCTTGAAAGAGAAAATGAAAATTTTATTGCCTAAAATGCAGTAACAGCATTAAATTAGCAGTTGGATCGAAAAAGATGCTTCGTATAATTTTATTATTATTATTTAAACTAGATGAAGCTAAAAATGCCACCTGGGTCGTTCTGTGTAAAACAATTTTAGTAATGGAAAAAAAGGTTTCTCATTTACAAAATGCTTATTTTGTTTCCAGTTTTGTCTGAATTACTTCTTTCAGCAACTAACTTTTGTTTCTATACTTCAGTTTATAATCGTTTTCTAAATTAGTTTATGATTATTTCAGTAATTATCACAATTAATTTGATTAATCGTTTCAGCCTTAATGAAAGAAGGTAATTATCTTTAATTAATGCTTTAACCTGTTTCTGGTTTTAAGTTTTTACTGTAAATAATCACCATTTAATCTTCTGTTTTTCTAAACTTTTCATTTAACAGTTAAAAAGCTGCCAATATAAACAAATATCATCTTGAAGGGATTTAGTTTTCCGACTTCCAGGAATCTCCTTTTGCTCCCTGTATCGATTTCCTTTAGTCATTTCCTGACAGTAGAAATTGATCATGCATAGGAACAGCAGATGTCAACATATTTCGGATACAGATTCGGGTAAATCTTTGTTACTGAGCCTCGGTGATAAAACGCCGTTTATTGATGTAAATTTCCAGGTTTTTCCCAGATATCGGACTCATCTTAGTAAACAAGTCGCTTCCACAGCTGCAGAAGGAATCACTTTTAATCCAATTACCAGATTATCATCTGTCAGCCTGCAGTTTTCATTATCAGCAGTTAAAGGTTACGACTGCAGCTGAAACAAAGTGGTGGAGGCGGCATTCAGGAGCAGAGCTCAAACTCAGCTTTCTGGGTGCTTGAAATCCTTGAAAGGTTTGGAAAGTGCTTGATATTCAAACTGCAAGGTTTTGTTACAAAGTTCAATCTAACATTTGATTACAGGCTTAGATTGGGAAACTTTATTTACCGTTGAAAGCAGATAAAATAAAAAGACAGCTGGATTTTTTTCCTTCTTGTTTGAAGTTAAATCAGACTCGACTTTTATTAAAAGCCAGAAAACGTACTGAGAACAATTTTTAGAGAATATTTTGCAACTTTTTGCATTTAATTTGTGCAAGAAGATTATTTACCCTAATATTTATTTGGATTGTTTCAGTCTAATGAATATTTATTTTTTCTAATATTACTTGATGTTTGTCTCATATTTTATACGTCAAACATTTTTTAAATCGGAATATTATTTGTGAAATTATTCTCTGCCCAGACTGAGAGACTTTTCAAAACAATATTTTGTGTTTTATTTACCTTCTCCCACAAAACATCATAAATATCAGTAATTAATGATATTTAATCATTAATTAAATGATTAAATATCAGTAATTAATGACATAATTAATTACTGATTAATTATGTCTCTTTAATTTTTATCTTCAAAGTTTGCCGCTGGAAAAGTTTGAAACTTAACCTTGAGAAGTGCTTGAATTTTACTCAGAAAATCCTGTGAAACATAAATATAGGAATGCACAAACCATGAAAATAATGACATTTATTTTGTGTTTTGGATGAAAGTTTGATGTTAAAAGAGAATAGTCTCTGTTCTGTTGTCCCTGGACTCTGACTGGACTCGAAGCTTATGAAGTGCTGGACTCATTTATTTTATTCCACAGCTGGTTGAGCTGCTCTGACACCCGATGAAGTCTAAATGTTTCAGATTTTCATTCTTCCTGCTTGAAGTCATTCAGAGCCTTTAATTAAACGGAGATTAATTGTGTGCATATGTGCACTGCTGCATGCAAACCTGCAGCCTGCAGCTTGGTCAGTGTTTCCTGGCAGAGGCTGTTTTCTGAATCCTAATGGATCTACTAAGATGTATAGTGCTTGTTTCTCTAGATTTCATGGTTTGTTCTCAGAAATCTGAATTATTTATGCAGAGAAAGGATAAATATGTCTAATAAATTGGCCAGTAGTTCCTATCAGCCCAGGATCCTCCTGTCGAAACGTAAACATTGATGTGAGATCAGGAGGCGTTACCCAGGAAACTGATCATCCAAATGAACTCAATAAACTAATTACAAAATGATTTCAATTCAGTAAAAACTAAACTTTTCGTGTTTAAGCAGCATTTCATTATATCATAATAAAATTACAATAAGAATGTTATATTGTAGAACTGCCAGGATTGTGATGACGTGTTAGGAAAAAAACAAAGTTACAGGAATAAAGCGGAAGGAGAATAAAATCAAAATATTACGACATAATTCTCATTATCTCAGTTTTATTGCGAGTTTCATTTCTAAATGAAAAACAGATTTTATGGTGAGTTAAAGGTAATTAAGTTTTCTTTCTGTAGTTTTTGCTCTGCATTTGAAGCTCAGACAGTTTAAGATCTATTTATTCAAAAGGTTAAGGATGTAATTCAGCTTGATTACAGGTTTAACAAAAACTGTCCTGGGAGTTTATTGTTAGAAATAAAATATTGTAAGTACCCTAAAGCTTTATAACATAACAAACGAGTAAGAAATAGAAATTAAAGCATCTAATATGCTTGTAAGTGAATTAAAAATACACGGAAACCATGAATGCTGTGTGCAGAACTGAAGCACAGACATTCAGGCTGATAGCCTGAGTATATTTCCCCATCCGCTCCATCTGTGGTAATTCGTGCAGAGACAGTCTGGCTCCATTTTCCCTTTTTTATTGCTTTAACTGGAATGACCAGACTTCTCATTTACTGTAGAGTGCAGTGTTTTTCTGCTGCTTTATTTCTCCATGGGATAAAAACGTCTGATTTTCAGCAGACCTCTCTGCTAATCATGACTGTATGGAGATCAGCACTTCCTGAATAAATGGAGACAGGATAAAACAAGTGGGGTATTTGTGAGTTTAATAGCCTTTGGAGTAATGCTGAAACATA